GGTTTGACTTTCTTTAGTTAAAACCAAACCAAACCAATTATGGTCGGGTTTTTTTTCCAACACCAAACCAAACCATAGTCGGATTTTTTTTCTCGGTTTGACTCGGATTATCGGGTTGGTGCGGTTTGTCGGTTTTCTTTGTACACCACTACCTGCACCCTTGACTCGACATGTATGTATTGCAAATTGACAAGATCTTCACGATATATCTTCTCTCTCTACAGCTTTCAAGCTCAAGAGTCAAGAAGAAATATAATGATAATACTTGCTTCAATTAGATCCCGGAACAAGTTCCACCAAGGTAATTGTGAACCAGGCAATTTTGAAAGATTGGAAATTCAAGAGAAGGGGATTATGCAGGATATTTTACATTTACAAGAAACTTTTGTCCTAAAAAGTGATTCAAAATTACTTAGCAGAAAGATATACTCTTTACATCAAAGCAATATACACAAGTAGAACCTGAGCACCACGCAGTGTTCCAGGCCTTGCTCGCCCAGTTCCCTTCTGCCTCCATGGTTTTCTACCAGTCCCAATAACTTCACTAATGATTTTAGTTGAATAGGTTCCCTGCAACATTCATCAAAAGTAGGTCAACAACACCATTTGAATTCTTTACTACCTTGGCAAGTATCTATAATTTTACAAAGCTTGTAGAATCAGGGGAACAAGCATAAAGATAGCAAAATAGGTAGGAGAATAGGAGGCACTGATTGATTTGAATGATCCGCCTTAGACCATTTTTTGTCTGCAACAATTTTCTTTAGCAAGACGATTTTTTTCCCAAAGGCATATGAGTTTCTGTGGTCTTCATATGCCTCAAAATGATCATCTCGATTCTCTTTTTCCCCCAGTAAGTCTCTTTGTTTCCCAGAGAAGCAATTGACAGTAAGATGAGAAATGAAAAATGATAAATGTCTCTTAGGCACGAGAAACATAGAGTAAAATAGGAATAGCTCGCCAATATGTATGCTCTATAATTGAAAATTTGGGATTCAAAATAATCGTGCACATACCTACTGTTGTTTTGCTAGTTGCCATCTCACAACACGATGAATAATATCCTTCCTAATTGGAACATCAAAAACATCCCCAGCCAAACACATAAAACTCTTGTCTTCATTATGAAAATTCGTTACTCAAATGACCAGGTCCCGATGGAGCCCTGCCATATACAGTAATCAAAATGATAGTTACACAAAATCAGATGATATAGATTCATCCATTGGAGTAATTTTTCAGTACAAAATGAGGCAGGGATTTATATGGGGCAAACATTATAACAACTCTACTTTGTACTAACAATATGAGGCAATCATCCTTACAAAGGGCAACATATGATGATCTAGGAAGTGTTCCATCATAGTAGGTGAAATGTAAGGCAAGCAACAAACAGTTTCAACTATTACTTCTTCGTTATTCTAAAGCTAAAGGGGAATAAAATAGCATATTGTACTTAAAGCAACAACATGGCGATCAAGGAAAAAACATTTCCATGAAGCATGATAGAGAGCTGTGTTTTCATTATATTCCTACAGCTTCTAAGTTAGTCATGGGAATATGAGGAACTATAATTCCATTAATCAATACTCAACAATCTTTTTGTGCCAAATAGCTAACCTCAACATGCTTGGTATTGCGGATATTAGTTATTGTTTTTGTGCCAAATACTTAAAAGTACACAAGCCTCATTCTCCAGAAAGCTAAGGAGTAAAAGAGAAACTTCCCCCAAAAAAATGCAGTCGATGCCAAAAGATACTTGTTTTGCAAGATGTGATATCCAATAACGTACTACTTTACGCTATTCTTTATAAACTGAGGGGGCTCGCTAAAAAATACCGGTAGGTCCTACACAATACGAGTATCTATAGAATCTTCTTTGAATTCTAACTTACATGACATACATAAACATACCATTTCATTTTAAAATATTGCTGGTAGAGAATCCCCCAACCTCCAATATAACCAAAACAGATAAAGGTGATTCATCCAAATGAAATGAAACTCTTTGATGATCCACTATGACTAAAAGATCATGTTTGGTTATCATTTTTCACAAATATATCCAACCTATTTCAGAAACTTCTTTTACATTATATGTAAAAGCATCAGAATCTTAAAAGGCATATAAAGTTTAACTGAGGGCTTCAAAAAGTAAAAGACATGACAAACAACTTACCAAAAAGGGTGAATCTTTAGAATAAAATTCCATCGTATATTTTGGTTCTTTAGAGATTAGACATAAGGTTTCACCGGATATAAAGCGGCAAGAATCAAGAAGTGGATAAGAAACCCGCTAGTAACAATAAGTAATCCCTGAGGAAATACTTCAAAAATGGATTATTACAAAACAATAAGACAAAAGGAAAGAGTTACCAAAGCAATTCAAGAACCTCACTTTGATAATTTAGATGCAATTAAAGAGATGTCAAAGTGTTTAGGAAAAACCAATTCGATAAACCCCTCTCATCCTTGCAAATTTCTGGAACAGATGAAAAAATACACACAAACAAAAATTTCGAAAATAATATAATTCAAAAGCTCCAGAGAAAAAAAAATCATAATTAAACCCCAAAGACAATTGCAAGATAAAATTCTCATACATACAAAAGCAAATAAATAGATATTCCAAATGAAAATAAGGGAAATAGAAGTAGGCACATGAGTTTTAAGCTGACACGGCAAGAATGACAAAAGGGCATCATTATGGAGAAACCTCATTCAAGAACTATAAAAAATCATATAATTAATAAATGGGCAATTGGAACTCAACTGAAACTACAACCAAAAAGGCCTGAATCCCGTCATCAATTGCCACCCAATTAAGAAGATGAAGAGATTCGAGCAAAAAAATGGAGGAGCATTTCTTTGTGAAAAGAGATGAAAGAGCCGATATTTCTAGAGCTACCGTCAAACATGGAGTGAGCAAGCAGTGGACCCATAAAACATTTTATGTTTATCCATCTTACCAATTTAACCTTGCATATTGATGTAATTACAATTTTGCCATTGGTCGACCGGACTTGTCTTTTCTATATAATAGAAAAAATATAGTTATTACTTAGCTAAAAATCTACCTCATGTTCTCAAACCTAGATGAGGAATATTTTAAGTTAAATATACTATCTTAGTCACTGGGTGGCGCATCGAAGAACAATGTCTGCTGTGCTACTTTTGCCAGAGAAAGTTGAATGTTATATATTTCATATTTGTTTGGTCATTAAATGATTTCAGGCAGATGTATGCCACGCTTACCAACTATTGAAGGATGGAGGTCTAAAAGATGAAAACATCATCGTATTCATATACGATGACATTGCTAACAATACTATGAATCCCAGACCTGGAATCATCATCAATAATCCACATGGCCATGATGTTTACAAAGGTGTTCCTAAGGTTTGTTTTTGTTCTTTCCTGGTTCAATATATTCCTTGAAAATTTTCAAGACTAAGAGTTTTTGCTTAATTATGAGGTGTTATTATTTTCTTGAGACAGGATTACGTAGGAAAAGATGTTAATGCTCACACTTTTTACAATGTTATTCTTGCGAACAAAAGTGGTATCACTGGGGGCAGTGGGAAAGTAGTGAACAGTGGTCCAAATGACCATATCTTCATCTATTATACTGATCATGGCGGCCCTGGTGTAGTTTGTAAGTAGCCTCTATCTCCTCGATCGAGTTATTATTCTTTGTATATTGCATAACTTAATTTGCTAATTAGTCTGGTCTGTTTCACATTTTTTGAGTTTAGGGGTTCTTGATTTCTATTTGAATGCTAATGCTAACCATTTGATTCTAGTATATATTGGATTATTAGTCACTACGTACAGTTGAATGTGGATAATCAGTTTTGTTAGGAACTTCTCGCCTAATGCCACGGTTAGGCAATCGTAAATGAAGCTAATATATATTGACTACAAAATTGGCGATTCTCTCCTGGTTTTTATCATACTTTGGAATTGATCATGATCAGGATATGCGTATTTATTTCATGCTTTTACTGTTGTCAGCGATGCCAAGTGGAGAAGATGTTTATGCAAATGATCTGATTGATGTGTTGAAAAAGAAGCATACTTCATGGACATTTGACAGATTGGTAAGTGGTAACTTGCTTGTTTAAATCTTTCAGGATTTCGATAAGTGAATTTTAAGGTCTGAATTTTATGTTAGATGATGTTATATTTTTCTATCTTCAGGTGTTTTACCTAGAAGCTTGTGAGTCTGGTAGCATGTTTGATGGTCTTCTTCCCGAAGGTCTCGACATCTATGTCACGACTGCATCAAAACCAGATGAAAACAGTTGGGCAACATATTGTGGTACCTATGATGGTGGAGTTGTTGATTGGCAAAATATTGTCCCACATCGGTAGAGGACCTCATTTGGGGGAATGTTTCCCTATAAAAGGAGGCCTAATATTTAGGATTTTAAAACACCTCTCATTTGCCTTCTTATCTTCTTAAGGTATTTGTATCTTCTCTCTTTAGTATGATTTCACTTGTATTTTTGGAGTGGAATAAAATATTGGTTGTGTCTGAGGAAGTAGGCAAAATTGGCCGAACCTCGTAAATTTTGGTGTTCCTTTTATTGTTGCTTTATTGTCTTATTTATTATTTGGTGGCTGCCATAATTTTTGGTATAGTAGTTGTGACTCATTTACACTATATACATTTGGCTTCCGCAACAATTGGTATCAGAGCCAAGGTACTGTTCAAGTATGCTCTGTGGTTGCAGCATAGTTTGATCTTCCACATCAGAAAAGATTTATCTTGATAACTGAGTCAAGGTTCTGTCTGAGTATGCTCTGTGGTTGCAGCTTAGTCTGATCTTCCACACCAGAAAGGAAATAATCTTGATTTGTGTCGTCAGCTATTAAATAATATTTGTGTCAAAGATGGGAGACAATAAACAAGAAGAATCTACATCAAGTGTCAACAATACGTCATCATTGGCATCTTCGCTTATGACAAGAATTGTGTCAAATGCGAAATTTGCGGTAGAAATTTTTGACGGGTCAGGATATTTTGGGATGTGCCAAGGCGAGGTTCTAAATGTCCTTTTTCAACAAGGGCTAGATCTTGCCATTGAAGAAAAAAGACCAGATGTTATTGGAGAAGAAGATTGGAGAATTATCAACCGTGTTGCTTGCGGTACCATTCGATCCTACCTTGCTAGAGAGCAGAAATATTCATACACAAATGAAACTTTTGCAAGTAAATTATGGAAAGCATTTGAGGATAAATTTTTGAAGAAAAACAGTCAAAATAAATTGTACATGAAGAAGAGACTGTTTCGCTTCACCTATGTTCCCGGTACCATAATGAACGAACATATCACCAGTTTCAATAAGTTGGTCACAAATTTGCAAAATATAGATGCAACTTTTGATGATGGTGACTTGGCCTTGATGTTGTTGGGGTCACTTCCTGATGAGTACGAGCACCTTGAAACTACTCTATTCCATGGGAATGACGAAATTTCTCTCAGAGAAGTTTGTTCGGTTTTGTACAGCTATGAACAAAGAAAGGGAGAAAAACAAAAGGGCGGAGAAGGAGAAGCACTGGTTGTGAGGGGTCGTCCTCAAAATCAANTAGACATATGGCTGATGGACTTGGCTTGTAGCTATCATATGTGTCCCAACATGGACTGGTTCGTAGATTTTCAAGAAGGAGAATATGGAGTCATCCACAGAGCGGATAACAACCCTCTTACCTCATATGACATTAATTCAATACGATTAAGGAACCATGATAGAATGATCAGAACATTAACAGATGTTCGATATGTACCGGATTTGAAGAAGAATCTCATCTCTGTGGGAGCCCTAGAATCAAAAGGGTTCAAAATAATTGTAGAAAATGGAGTGATGAGAGTATGCTCCGGTACACTAGTGGTAATGAAGGCCAATCGGAAGAACAATAATATGTACCGTTATCGCGGTAGTACATTTATCGGGACAACAACAATAACATCCAGTGACAAAAAAGAGGCAGAAGCAATCAGGCTATGGCAAATGCGTTTGGGACATGCTGGAGGTAAATCCTTGAAAACTTTATCAGATCAAGGATTGTTAAAAGGAGTAAAGGCTTGCAACTTGGAGTTTTGCGAGCATTGTACCAAAGGGAAACAGACAAGGGTTAAATTTGGTACAGCAAACCATAATACTAAATGTATTTTGGATTATGTACACTCTGATGTTTGGGGTCCTTCCAAAACACCTTCATTGGGTGGAAAGCACTATTTTGTAACCTTTGTTGATGATTTTTCCCAAAGAGTGTGGGTGTATACAATAAATAGCAAAGATGAAGTGTTGGGAATTTTTCTCAAATGGAAAATGATGGTGGAAAATCAAACATGCAGGAGGATCAAGTGTATTCGCACAGACAATGGAGGTGAATACAAAAATAATCATTTTAATAAGGTCTGTGGAAATGATGGCATCGTCCGACACTTCACTGTCAGACATACACCACAACATAATGGAGTGGCAGAATGTATGAATCAGACCTTGCTGGAGAAGGTACGGTGTATGTTGTCCAATGCTGGCTTGGGCAAAGAATTTTGGGTTAAGGCAGTTACATGTGCATGCCACCTCATTAATCGTCTATCATCTGCTGCTATTGATGGCAAGACACCATTTGAAAAATGGTATGGAAAGCCTATTGTAGATTATGACTCTTTGCACGTATTTGGCTCAACTGCATATTATCATGTAATAGAGTCAAAATTGGATCCAAGGGCAAATAAGGCTATTTTTATGGGGATTACTTCTGGAGTCAAAGGATATCGCTTATGGTGTCCTATGACAAAGAAAGTAATATTCAGTAGGGATGTTACCTTTGATGAATCTGCTACGGTAAATAAGGTAACAGAAGATACCAAACAAAATGAGGGTGCTTCTAAGCAGGTGGAGTTTGAGGAAAAATTTATTTTTCCTACACAAGAAGCAAAGAAGGAAACATATGAAGATTATCCTCTGGAAGAAGAGCCAGTAGAGAGGGAGATTCCAACTCAGGAACCTCAACAACAACTTGAATCAATAGCAACCAGCAGGCCAAAAAGAACAATAACGAAACCTGTTCGTCTCATAGAGACGGTTGCTTGTGCAACCTCAATTGTAGCTGATGATGTTCCTACTACTTATAAAGACGCTGTCCAAAGTTCAGAAGAAGATAAGTGGAGGATTGCTATGAATGATGAAATACAATCCCTTCATCAAAATCATACATGGAGATTGGCCAATCTCCCGAAGGGAAAGAAAATAATTGGGTGCAAATGGGTATTTGCAAAGAAAGAAGGATTTCCTAACCAA